CCGCTGCTTCTGGGCCCCTGCAACGGGGGCGGGGTTCTCAGCGGCCGAGAAGGTCCTTCCGAGCAGCCCCGGGTCGCGCTGGCCCCGCGGCTGGCGGCCACAGCGCCTTGGGCCCCCCCCCCCGCCGCCCCTTACCCTTGCGGCTGCTCATCGGTGCGGGCTTCGCGTCCGCGGGAGGAAGGCGGGGGGCGGGCGGGGGACGCGGGCTGGGCCGGAGAAGGGCGGGAAGAGCGGTGGCGAAGGGGCCGCCTCCAACTTTCTGAGCGGGCGGACTGGCCGCTGGCCGACCGGGAAGCGGGTTCCAGGAGCTCGGCAGCCGCTCCGCCTCCCGGTCCTGCGGAATAGAAGCGCCGCACTCGGGCGACAACAGCCCCGCCGGGGATCTGACCCCCAAAGCGGCCCGAAGCCCCGGAGGAGGCGACGCGCCGAGACCGCGCTCCCTCGGGCGAGCACCTGGGACCCCTCGGGAGGGTGGCCCAAACTTTTCCCTTGGGCGAGGTTGGCTTCCTGCAGGTCTCCCGGCTGCGGCTCCAGCCCCGCCCGCCCCCCGGAATCAACAGCTGCCTTGCCAGCATTCCTCACGTGTCTCGGCGCGGGCGGAGACGCGGGTTGGGGCTGTCCGTGAGAATGGAAGCTGCGTAGCCGAAAGGCAGATCCCTGGCTTCCCGGGGCAGCGTGTTCATAGCTCAATATTGCATGAGACGCTCCGGTTTCGTCCCTTTGAAAGTTTTGAGTGGCAGATTTTTCTCCCTCTGGAACTCCTCGGCTGAACTTGGACTCAACTTTCGGGCCCTTGGCGGCTGAGACCCTGCGCCTGGCAGGAGCTGCTCTGGGAATTTCAGAGGACGCCCCCAACTGCTAGCTGCAACCAGTGAAAAGACGCCCTCCCCTCTCAAATGGAGACTCTTCAGTCACCCCAGCAAAAGGGGGGCGGTTACTTCCCGGGAAATAGTTCGGATGGGGGGTGAGATGCCTCCATCCCGGCGAGCAAGTCCCGTCTGTGGGCTCTTTGATGCCCCCCCTCCCCTCGCATTTCTCAGATATTGAGGTGAGCAGGCCTGAAACTCGGATGAAACAAGTTTGGGGGAGGGAGAAATCTCCCACCTGTAAGCTTGAGCAGTGACAACCTAGCCCAACCTCCCCCCCCCCCCCATCGCTCCAGTTCCCTCCAGTCTCATAAAAAGAAACTTTTTCTCTGCCCAGGGACTCCAAACCTGGCAATTGGACACCCCTGGGGACTTGGAACTTCCAGAATTCGCCAGCCAGCATTGTCCACAAGTCTTAAAATTCCCTGGTCCGGCACCAGGATGAGACCCTCGGGCCCCCGTCTGCACTGTGGGAGGGAAATTGACGGGGGAGGGGGGAGGGAGAAGGGGGGCTTTGGAAGACTTGCAGGGCCTGGGAGAAGAGGGGCAGCCAGTTAGGCAGCCATTTAGACAGGTGGGGGAGGGAAGGACCCTGGTGGTTCTGTCAGTTAAACCGCTTTTCTGGCCTCTTGGAAAACACGCAGGAGCCGACCACCACCACCACCACGGGGGTTTGCCTGCCGTAAGCCCAGTACGATGTCCCAATGAAATGGGCTGCAGAGAGACAAGGAGGCGGCTTTGAAGAATCCAAGGAGGACTTAAGCCCCCAGTCCTGGGGATTGGAGGGAAGCCGCCTGGAGCTTCGCCTGGAGCTTCCCCAACAGGGGCTGACCTGAAAGCCAGTTCGGCCTCATCTGTGCAGGAGAGGAGGACGTGGCCTGGGACCCCGGCAGCCCCGGCAGAAAGGCCCCTGCTGCCCATTGTGGGAGGCTGGCAAAGCCAAGCCAGACCTGTTTCAGAAGAGCCCAGAGGGCCCCTGGACGACCAGCCCACACTCAAGGCCTCTGCGGCTGCCAGGAAGGGTTGAGTCAGCAACCCATCCCCTCCCTGGGGAGACACAGCCGCCCCTTCCAGGCAGGAGCAGGAAGGAGTCACACGGGGCGGGGGGGGGCAGAAGAGGCTTCTCCTTCAGAGCCCCCCCCCCCATTGAACCACTCCAGAGTCCTACATTGACTGCACACCAACAGGCCAAGCCTTGGCGATGGGGGGCAGGGCAACTCACGGTGACCCAGTCAGGTGCTTTGGGGGCTACCGCTCCCCTGAAACTGAATTCCCCACCCCCAGTTAAAGAAGAAATCAGGCCAGGTTCTTTGTCAAACATTTATATTTATAGCAAAAATAGGCTTTTCTCTCTTCCCCACACAACGGTTTGTTCCCCCCACCCCCAAAACATTTACACAGTAAACAAGTCAGCTGCTGCCACATGTCCTGCACCAGCCCCCCCCCCCGCCTCCTTTGCCGGTTGCCCCCCAAGCGGGACCCCCGAGCAGCCCCAGGAGGGGGGAATGCCAGGAGAAAAGCCCAGGAGGGCTGGGGATCCGCACCGTGGGGCTAGGAGGTGCAAGGGGCGGGAGGGGGGGGGTCAGCCAAGGGCCACAGCATGGAAGGCAGCTGCGAGGGAGGGCAGCACATTTGCAAGGGGGGGGGTTGGATATGATGAGGGGGGCAGGATAAGAGCCCTGCCTGGTGGGGGGTGATCAAATTTGGCTTCCGAGGTCCATTTGGCTGAAAAGTAGAGGGGGGGGGGGCTTCCCTAGAAGAATGCTAGGGACCCTTCCTTGCTGTTGCCCCCCCCCCCCGCAAGATGAGGCCAGTGGAAAGTGCCCCTCTTCTCCCTCCAGAAGCCCCAGTCCAAGCGGGCAGAGCCCCTTCCCAGCCCTCCATGGGCAGTAGGGATGGCACAAGACAAGGGAGCCCCTCCCCCAATACTGTCACGGAGACTCAACATCGTCGCTGGAGTTGACTGGGGAAGAGAGAGGAACGATGTCCTTCCCCTGCTTCAAGTGCGTAGAGGCCACGTCCCGGTGGCTCCCTTCTGTCCACGCGGCTCGTGGCCTGTAGAGGAGCAGCAGCAGAGCCCGCTGCCCGCCAGCCCTGGGGCTCCTGCGGGGAGGCCAGTTCTTCGCCCGGAGGGAAAGGAGATGGCACCAAGTAAACACGGGGAGGGGCCCCTGCCAGAGCACAGGAGTCTGAGAGTCCAGGTGGCCCCGGGGCCTAGGAGACCATGTAGTGCGTGATGGCACGGAGGGCGTAGAGCAGCTCTGCCTGCAGCCGGGCCTCCAGGATCAGCAGATTCACGTGGACCGGGGGGGGGGGGGGGCAAAGAGGAGCCTCGACCCCAGCTCAAGACGCCTGAGGCCCTCCCCCACCCGAGGGCCCGGCCCGGGAAGCAGCAGCTCCAGAATCCCACCAGGACTGGCTGGAGTGGAAGACGGGAAGGGGAGCCCCCAGCACAGAGTTGGCGCCGGGGGTGGAGCAGAATGTAGGTCGGAGCTGCTTTAACAATGAAAAGGCCCAAATCCGTCCAGGTGGGGCTGCTACTGGACCCAGTGCCCAGAAGGACGACAGCCCAGCAGCCTCAGCCCGAAGTAGCCCCGGGGAGTCTCCCGGCCCAGGCCAGGTCCAGTTCCAAGCCATCCATGCTGCCGACAGAGGATCCACCTGTTTCGTCTGCGGGGGAGGGCAGGTTCCAGCCGGGGCCAGGATTCCCCCTCCCCCCCCCTCTGCTCCACACGCACAACCCACCTTTTCACTGTGCTTGAACTGCTTCCAGAAGCGCTCAAACACCTGGGGATCCATCTTCTCCGGGGAGCAAGTCACAGTTTTGATATACAGCTTGAGGATCCGTTCCAGGAGATGGTTGACCTCGGCATAGTCGTAATCATCGTACCTGGAGGTGGGGAGGGATTCAAGGCCCTGGATTCAGCCCCAGAGGAGACCCCTCCCCCTTCGCCTTGAGCCAGGCTGGTGGGCAGGAGGTCCTGGCACAGCCGGCATTCTCGGGCCAAGGCTTGGAAGGGGATAGCAAAACCTTCCCAGGGAGGGAATTCGGTCCAAGTCCCCCGTCGCCTCCAGGGAGCGACCCAACGGCCCATCGCCTAAACCCGCCTCCCTCCCTTCCTCCCCGGGCTCTGGGAATGACAGGGAGCTTCGGCCCTGCAGGAGGCGCCAAGAAGGGGGGAGGAGCACCTGATGCCGAACATGCAGTGGACGTAGTTCCAGACGGCCCGCTTGAAGGTGGCCTCCTCGCAGCCCTGCCGCTTGGCCATCGAGCAGCTGTGAAGACCGTCCACCTTCCGGAACTTTTCGTCCAGCAGGTGCCCAATGTCGGAGTACAAGCGATTCACCAGCGAGAAGCCGTGGTCTTCCCAGGAGTAATCCTGCCGGGATCAGAAAGAGGGTGGCTGGGTGAGGGGATGCCAAAGGGGGCCGGATCCACAGCCTCCCAGGCCAGGGGCAGGCAGGAGGCCAGCCGAGACCCCGGGCACTGCCAGGCTCTACCCACCTGGACACGGAAGATCTGGGGCTGCCCCTCGTGGCACTGGGCAAACTCCTGGTAGCCGAAGCTGGGGTCCAGGACGTAGCAGGAAAGGTCTGCGGCCCCCAAGAATTCCCCGTTGAAGCCTAGAAGACGGAGCCACTCAGCCAGGGGAGGGAGGGAGGGAGGGAGGGGGGCCTGTCCGCAAGCAGGTGAGCCCCAGCTGCTCTCAGGGCCCCCCGCCTGGCCATCAGCGCCGGGACTCCCAACCTGGTCAGGGGCCCCAGGATGCTCTGGACAAGGCCCTCCACAGCCCCTCCTCCAGGGAGGCTGGCAGGTGGCCTTACCTTCTTCCCGCTGGGCAGGCAGCCTCAGCTCCTCCCGGGCCTCACTGCCCGCCTGCAGCCGGTGGATGCGCTCCCGAAGCGACTCGAGCTCCACGCAGGAATCCAAGGACTGCAGAGGGGGAGGAATGCGACTGAGGGCTCCTTCCCTGGGTCTCTTAAGGGGACCCGCCCCCCGTGCCCTGCAACTGGGGCCTGGTACCCCCCCCATGCCCCCCCAGCCCCCCAAGAAGCCGAAGCACGCACCCGCTTGCGGTTCAGGTGCAGCAGCTCCTGGCTGCAGCCGTTGCCCACATCACAAAAGCAGACGCTCCCCGGGAGGCCCAGCTTGAGGGGGCCCCATCCCTCCTCCGGCCCCGGCCCCTGCTCACAGCCACAGCCGAAAGCAAAGCTGGCCAGGGCGTGGCAGTGGGCCAGCAGCACCACGGCGTGGACCAGCTCGGCCAGCGACCAGCTCTGCTCACTGATCTTCAGCAGCTTCTGGGGGGGGGGACGAAAGGAGGCAGGCTGTGACTCCCCCCCATCAGGCCCGCTCCAAGGCGCAAGCGGCCCCAAGCGGCAGGGCCCCAGCCGGAGCGCCAGCTGCCAAAGAGGCTCTTCCTGGGGGAACCAACCGATCGGAAGCCCCCCCAGGCCCAAGGAAGACCCTCAACTGCATCTCCTGATGGGAGCCAGGAGCTCCTGCTTGCGGGGGCGGGGGGGGGGGGGGGGGCTTCCGGTGGGAGGGAAACCAAGCGGGCAGAAACTCTGTAGCTGCAGCTCCACCTTTCATGCCTCACTTACTCCGCAGGCTGTTTCTGATGGGGGCGGGAACCTGTTCAGGCAGCCTAAAGCATGAGCCCCTTGGGGTGGAGGGCTTTGAGGCCTGGGAGGGGGTCCTTCGTATGCTGCTCCCTCCCACCAGCTACCCCATGGGGCGAGCCCAGAGGTCCCAGCAGCATCCACCCTGCCCTCTCCCCCCCCACCCCGATCTGGCCTTGTACCTCAATGTGCTCCTTGCAGACCAGCCAGGGCCGGTGGGCCAAGACCTTGTTGATCTCACTGAGCCGGCGGAGTTTGGGGGGGATGCAGTCTAGCCCCCTCAGCCACAGGGGGTCTCCGCCCACCCGCAGGAACTGCAGCACATGAAGGTTCACCAGGTAAAGACATCGATGCCGGGCAGCTGCCTGCAAGAGGCACGGGGGGGGGGGGGGGGTGCTCAGACCAGTGGGGAAGACCCCTGCCTGCTCCTGGCCTTGGGAGTCAGAAGCCCACCCAGTGCCCCCAACCCAGACAATTGGTCCCCCTCCTCCTGATCCCTGCCTGGCATAGTCTCCACCAGACACACACACCCCTTCTGCTTTTGTGGTGGTGGTGGGGAGACTCTTCCTGGGTCCCTCAGGGGATCAGGACCGCTGCTCTCCCCCCTTGAGAAGGACTGCCAAGGGCCACATCATCTCACAAGGCAGCTGCAGCTCCCAAGCAGCCCGTGATCCCTTTGGAGTGGCAAGGGGCTCCTGAGTGGGGAGGGCGAGGCGGGGCTCAGCAGTGAAGCAAGCAAGCAGGCAACCACACCCTCCCCAAGCCGAGCAGGCCCTGGCAGTGCCAAAAGCAGCCGCTCTCCAGGATGGGCCCCCGCGGCCCTTCAGCTGGGCAGGGCTCCCTCTCACCATGATGGCGATGAAGTGGCGGCAGTCGAAGGGCAGCGGCCCGTCCATGTGCAGCAGGTAATGTTGCATGCAGAGGAAGCTGTCCAGGTAGTGAGGGTGGTAGCCCATCTGCTGGGCGATGGCTTCGATCCGACCCCTGCTGGCCAAGGCCTTCACAAAGAGCAGCTGGGGAGGCCTCTCCTTGTCTCCGGTGCTCATCTTGGCCATCTGGGCGGGAAGAGCACAGACTGTGGGCCACACCGGACATTGTGCCATCAGCGGGGGTGGGGGGTGGGTGGCTAGGAAAAGAGCCAACTCTCTGCACAGTGCCCCCCCCTCCTTGAGCACCAAAAGCACCTGAGGCCGCCCAAGGGCACGGAAGAAACACCTGGCTGCGCCTTCCTGCTCAAGGTGTATTTTTGGCCAGAAGATCATGGGGGGGGGGGTCACATCTGGGGCCAAGGGAAAGCAGGGCCTGCAACCGGCACACGTCGGGCATTGCAGGGAGTTCTTACGCCTGCTTGGGTGGGAGACAGGCAGCCCTGCACCCAGGTAGGTCAGCCTCCATCAGCCGAGGTGAATTTCACTAGTTCTGCTCTCTGCCCTCTTTGCACGATGGAAGCTTCTCCCTGCCCTGCCTTCGAAAAAAGCCCCCCCCCCCCAAATGGGGGTTTGTTTAAAAGCCCCCCCGCTTAAGACAGGCCCAGACCAAAATGCGGCTGGGCCTTCAACGTCTCCTTTCTCAAGCCTGCAGCCGGCTCCCCTTCCCCAGGTGGGCAGTTGGGGAGGGCTTGGCAGCCCCCTCCTCTCCCCTGGCCAGCCTCTTCCCCGCCACGGAAGTAGGGGGGCTCCTGGGGGCAGAAGTGGCCCCTGGCAGGAGGGAGCAGCTCAGGGAAGGCAAGGGGGCTCTAGGCTCCACATCCCCCATCTTTCTACCGTGTTTCTCATATAATAAGTCCGGGTCTTATTTTTTTTTGAGCCCTGAAAAAATGGCTGGGCCGTCTTTTCGGGGGTGACTTAATTCCCCCCCTTGCATCTTTGGGTGGGCGGGTGGCGACGGCTTGGATGTTGACCTCGGCGTTGGTGGGGCACTTCGTATTGGGGTCAACGCAGGCAGCACCAAATCTAGGTGTGCAACAAAAATACTTCCTAATGGCAAGCCCCCCCACCATTCCCCCCCCCCCATTTTGCATGTTTTAATATAGGCCTTAATTTGGGGGGAGGGGCTTAATTTCATTTCATGCCTACAAAACATGCTGGGACTTCCTCTTGGGGGAGGCCATATTGTTGGAGAAACAGGGTAGCAAAGGAATCCCTGCCCAAGAAAACAGCCAGCCTGCCCCAGGCCCAGCCTGACCTCCAGGGTGGCCTCATCCAGGAGGCATCCAGGAACACCCAAAGATGCGGGGACCCTCCCAGGGCCCAACCGGATGGGGGGAGGAAATTCCTCCCCCTGCCAACCCAGCTGCCTTTCCAGGAAGACCCCAGAGCTGGAATTAAAGCAGCCTCAGGAAAAGGGAGGGGGAGCCCCGGGATGCGTCCCTCCCCAGAGCTGAGGAGCTCCACCAGACCTGCCAAGGGACCTGGCCGGCCTCAGAACTGGGGGTCTCTCTGCGAAAACAAAGGAGCTCAGGGGAAGCCCATTTCCAGGCCCCCTCCCCAAGCAAAAGTGCCTGCCTGAAGGCAAAGAAACAAGGGGGCTCCACCATTGACAAGCCCCCTGCCCCCCCAAGGAAATCTCCGGGGGCTCCTAAGGAGCCCCTCTCCTCCATTCAGGACGGGGCGCCCAGAAATGTTGGAAAGGGGCCCAAGAGGTGGGGGGGGGGGGCAGAGCCAGCTTTTCTACCCACCTCCCGAACCGGTGCTGTTCGGTATCAAGGGGGGGGGGGGGATGAAGCCCAGAGCCGCATCCCCGAGCCGGGGAGGCAGACCGAGTCAGACAAAGAAACGGTCCCGGGGCCCGCGAGGCAGCCGCAAGTGGCCCAACGCCCGGGGGGGGGGCAGGGGACCGCTTTGGCCGGAGCAGCCCAGCGGCCAGGAAAAGAGACGGGACCCCCGCCCCAAAAGAGGAAGCCGCGCCCTCCGCCCGACTGACCGGGCACCACGGGAAGAACACGCCCCCTGCCCACGGAGCGGCGGCGGCCACAGCGGGACCGGTCCGGTCCCCTCCCCCCCCCCCCCGCGCCCCCGCCCCTTTGTCCCCCCCCGCCCGCCCCCGAGGCGGCAGCCGGCGGGCCGCAGCGCCCCCTGCCGGGGCGACCGCCGAGCCGCAGGAGGAGAAGCAGAAAAACAAGTTTGATTGGCAGCGCGGGGCGGCGGGGGGGCAGGTCGGTCCAGCGGCGGTTCGGGCTGGGGGCGCCGCCATCCCCGCCTCCGCCGCCCGGGGATGCAGGACGGCGCGGGGCCGGGGCGAGGGAGGGAGAGACGGGCGAGGCTGCCTCCGCCGCCGCGGGCACCGATCGCCTCGGCCCACCCCCCGGCCGGAGCCCCCCGGGCGCTGCGGGGCTGCCGCGGGGGGGCCGGGGGGGGGGGGGCACCGGCGGCGCGGGAGGGGCTCCGCTGCAGGGGCAGCCCGGGGGCCCCGCTGGGCTCCGGCTCCCTTACCTGCAGCCTCTGGCACGGCTTCCCGCGGGGGGGCTCCGCGCTCGGGGGGAGGAGGATCTTCGTCGCCGCCGCCGCCGCCGAGGGAAGGCTGGAGGCGCGGGCAGCCCAGCCGGAGTCGGGGCGCGAGGGGGCGTGCCCACCACCCGGCCCCGTTCGTACGCCGCAGCGGGGGCGGGGCGGCCCGGCCGGCCGGCCAATCGCGGGCGTAGGGAGGGCCCGGAGGGCGGTGGACATGTGGGGCCGAGTGGAAAATTCCCTGTCCGTCAAGCGCCGGCCCCGCCCCCTGAGAGCAAAGGGGCGGGGCCACTGATCCAGCGTGGTGTCCCTTGACAGCTCTTAAAGGAGCCGCGTCCTGTTTTCGCGCGGAGGTCGGTCCGGCTGAGGGAAGGTTCGAACGGAGCCCCGCATAAGTTCGCAGGAAACTCCGGGGCTTCTTTAGTCTCGTTTCCCTCCGAGGCCGGGCGTGGAGCCTCCGCTTTCTTACGGTTGCAGCGTAAATGGCAACGTGAATCATGCCCAGCCGGCTGGTTAAGGCAACCTCACCATGGCAGTCGAAGCCCCCCCCCCCCATTCTGGGCTTCAGTCTGGGAAGCGATTCTAAACATCCATTCGCTATTTATTTGAAGCGCCCGGTTCGTTTATGGGGGTCCCTGCAAGCCAGGCTGCACCGAGACATCGAGGCCAACCCAGGATCTGCTTGTGCCCAGCCCAGGTTTGCCCAAAAACAGTGGCTGGCCAGCCCCATGGCTCCTGGTGCAAAGCAGGGCACCCCAATGCACGTCTCTTTTCACACGCGCACACCCCCTGCAGTTCCTTAAAAACTTCTGTGGCTGTGCAAGAAGATGAGCACAAGGATTAAGGCAGCTTCCAGAGCAGTGAATAGAGCGGGGGACCCCTAAGCCCCCCCAGGACCACTCCAAGCTCTTTGGCTAAGCAAAGAGAGCTCCAGCGTTCGAAGGCTAGTTTCCATTTCTTAAAATGTACCTCCGAGGGTTCTTCCTGCCCTCTGGGGTGCCCTCTTCCACCTCTACTTTTCCTAGCCATTGACTTCCAGGCCTGGGATCAGGTAGGTGAGAGGCAAACGCCCCTGGGGTGCCCCTCTGGCTGTGCCAAGTGTCAAGGGGCTACCCAGAGCTCATCACTCCTAGCTGTAGAGGCTGGGGCCGGTCCAGGAGGTCCCCTTGGTCCTCTGCAGCAGTGCCAAAGCAGCCGGGCAAGGCAAGGAGCCAGCCGCCTGCCAATGTCCACCTTGCCCCCCCCCCCCGCGCTGTTTCTGGAGCCGGGCTGGCAAATCCCGTTTCTGCTGCAGCTTCTTTTCCGAGCCTCCAATCAGGAGCGTCCCTGGTGACATCAGCCTTGAAAGGACACCATCATCATCACTCGTCCCGAATGTGAAACAGACCGGCAGACAATGCAGCCAGGAGCAATGCCGGCTCGTCCGCAGGGCCTCGGCTTCCGAGGGAAGATGGAAAGGGGGCTGGGGGGGCTCAGAGACACTTTTATTGGGGCACCAAGTCACCCCCGTTGGTGCTCAGTAGAGGGGCTGCTGGAGGGGCAGCGGCTGGAGCTCTCCCGGGGGTCTCTTTCCAGGGTCAACGGTGCTTTTCCTTCTCCTTCCGGATGGCCTCCAGTCTCGCCTTGGTGGCGGCAGCCGTTTTGCGTGGCAAGCCCTCCTCGTCCAGACCGCTGGCAATGCTCCCTCCGGACTTCCCGGGGCCTTTTCCCTGGGGGGGGGGGGCGGCACAGATCCCGGGGGCTCCGGGTTAGGAGGAGGGCAGGGGGGAGCACCCCCTGCCCAGGCAATGGGGGCAGTGTGGTGCCCAGAGCTGTCCTGCCGCTCAGGAGGCCCTGCCCCATTTCAGGCAAGCCCTTGTCCAAGCAGAGCAGAGGGAGGAAGGCAGAGTCCTGGACGCACAGGGTCTGGCTGAGAGCAAGAGGGGAGCCTTACCACCACCTGGTTGGCCATGTAGGACAGGAGCGCTTCCATGGTTGGGGGCTTCTTCCCATCCTGGTTCTTGAGCATCTTCAGGCGGCTCTTCTCCAGGTACTCACACTGGTTGCGAAGGGAATCTAAGGGGGAGGAGAGGCGTGCAGTGGTTCTGCCTGGGGAGGTGGAGGTGGCCATTGAATCAGCTGCTTAGTAGAAACAGAAACTCCCAGGTCATTCTGATCCCCCCCCCAATTCAGGGGGGCTGAAGGAGGCAAAGAGGGGGTGGCATGCCCCCCCCAGTCCAAGGTCTCTCTCTGAAGCCTCACAGATGCCCCTTGGATCCAGAGCTGTTTGCCAACATCCTGCCACCTCTTCCCCCCTTCTGGCAACCCCATACCAGCCACATTGCCCCTCCTTCATTGGATGCCAATGTCAGGGGTGGCAGCAGTGCCTCTCCTTCATTGGTGGGGGGAGATCTGGCAGGCTCGTGTTGGTGAGACCACCCCCTTCTTCCCCACCTGGCACCTCTCCCCAGTTCTGCCCACCCTCCACCCACTTCCAATGGTGCCACTTTGCAAGGAAAAGGCCTGCCAAGGTTCCCTACCCAGCAAATCCTGCGGGGGAGACTTGATGAGAGGGTGGAAGGCCCGGTAGCTGTGCTCATTCTTGGTCCCTGCAGTGAAGGAGAAGAGAACCCCACCTCGGTGGCTGCGACCCTGGCAAAGCTCTGGGGGGTGAGTGGCAGGTGCCTTGGCCTGCAAAGATGCCAGGGCACAAGGGATATAATGTCCAACACTCAGATGATGCAAGTTGCAGTCGGCCATGGTCCTAACACCAGCCCACCCAACTGCGGCATAAAGCATCGGGCCCAGTCCCCAATTGACGGCCTACCAACCAGGGAAGGAAGGAGGCCTCCCCCTCCTCAGTGGAAACCAACCTCCTTGTACATGTGTTGTAGTCTGACAATAAACCCTGAGGCAGCCAGTGGGTGGAAGGTTGCACCCAGGTGGTTGCTCAAGTCAAGGCAAGAGCGGAGGAGACCCCAGGAAGAGCTGCAGGGCTGGGGCGCTAGGGTGGGTGCTCCCTGAACCCCCCACCCACCCACCTGTGGCGCCACGCTCCACTTTGCAAACGTAGTAGGTTCCCCGTGCAGTGAGGAACTTGCTGGCATTGTCTTCTGGGAACTTGACCAGGAAAATCAGCTTCAGGGTCCCATTCTCCTCGCAGAGGTCAATGGAGTCTGAGAAGGAACTGCGGAAGTTGGGAAGCAGGATTCCCCCCCGCCACAAGAACGAAGGGCCCTGCCCCCCCCCCCCCCACTCCTTCGACCCTTCAGGGCTTCAGCTTGGCCGGAGAAGGGCCACCCCCCTCGCCCCCCCTCTCCAGGTTCCCCTGATCGTTTTGCCTGTCCGGAGGGAGGAGGCCACGCAGCCCCTCCGTTTGTGGGTTGGTTCAGGTGTTGGATTCAGGAGTCAACTGATGAGCCTGAAGAACCTGGGCCCAGGGGAGCAGCCAGAAGGGTCTACGGATTGTGAATTATGGGTGTTCTGCCGTGTTTTGTTCTCATCACTGATGCATTCTTCAGTCGTTTTTAACGTGAGCTGCCCAAATTGAGCGAGCAAGATCGAGGTTGTGTACATGGAGGCAGGAGAGCCTTCCCCTGACCACTATCCACAGCTCAACACTCTTGTTCTAGCAGGCCCAAAGCCCTGTCGCCTCCTCCCCCGCCTCAAAGCCTGCACCCTTATGCAAAAGCTACGGGCCTCCCTCCCTCCGTGTCTTCCCAATTGGTGGTGGAGACCCCTGTCCTTCCAGGCAAGGAGCCGATGCCCCGAGACAATCGCCACGCATGAGATTCCTTCCAGTGTCCCTGAACTGCACCTGGTGGAGTCAAGTTGCAGTCCAGCAGCCACTAAACCTGGCCACCAGCCACGCTCCCTCCGCACCCGCTTCCTTGCCAGCCTCTCAAGGATGGAGGCATTCTCAGCCCTGGGGAGCCCAGGTCCTTCTCACCTGTCCTGTGCAATCCCACCTTATCACGCAGGTAGTGGGTTAGAAGCAAAACAGAGCAATTGATGTTGGCCAAGAATTGCCGGTTGTCTGAAAGGAGAGGAGCCATGGTCACCGCTGCAGAAGGGTGACTTCTGCTCTCCTGTCCTGTCTGGCCTGGGGAGCGTCAACAGCTCTGGGCCTGACTGGCCACCTGAGCCCCCCCCCTCCCGCAGAAGAGAGAGACCGGAGAGGGGGGAGGGACAGCCCTTCTCCTCAGCCCTTCCGAGGGACTCAGAAGCTGCCCATGGGAGCCGCAGCCTGGAGGCTCTCGGCCCTTTTGGTGCCTGGACCTCGTGCATCCCTGGTCATCGGGGCCCAGGGGGGAGGCGGTTTCCCTTGGCTGGAGGCACCCAAGGCGGGAGTGCCATCCTTCAGGGCTGCTTGAACTGAGTTGGGCACCAAAGCTTCTTTGCCCGTATCATTAGCCTCCTGCCCGCCATCTTTGGAATAATAAACGCATTGATTCTGGATCAGTGAGGATTGTGTGCCTAATGCAACACGTTTTTCAAAGGAGCACAAAGTGGCGGTTGCACCTGCCAGGACAACGCCTGTCCGTCTCCCTGCGAGCGTCCAGGGAGGAGAGGCCGCCATCCGGAGGGTCCCAAGGGACCCTTCCTCAGCTTCCCCTTTGACCAAGGGGCCCAGGGACCTTCGCGGGCCACCTTTCCTTACCTCCATGCTTGATGACGATGAACATACCCGGCAGCCTTGGGCATGGCGGGCAGGTTCTCCTGAGTTGGGCAGCCTGGCAGCTATTGTGACATGTCAGAATGAAGGGGCTCTTCTGTGAGGCAAGCGGGCAGGCAGGGCACCCTGACTGTGGTTTCCTCAAGCATAGTTTGCGAAGTTAGCCAGAACAGGCCAGTTCCTGCATTGCACTGGCTAAGCCATCCTAGGGCCTGGCTGGCTTGGTGGGGGGGAGCCAAACCAACCCCCCGTAGTTGGTAAACCAGGTGTGTTGGGCAAACGTGACTGACTGTAGTTGACGCAATAAAACATCTCCAAGCCAGCAGCGGTTTAATAGCCTCCACGCCTGAGGCCAACGAAAGGCCCTTTCTGAGAAAGTCTGCAGCATAACTTGAACGAGGACTCGTTCCAGGGGAGGCTTTCGCTTTGAGAGCACCTCGAACCCCGATGGGAACCCCGCGACTAAGAATTTGGGGAGCAGAAGCAGCGAAGTGAGCAGGGCCTCGGGACGCCCCAGCTCAGCCTTTGAACGAGGGCCAAGGTTGCCGGGGGGGTGGGGGGATACAACCGGAGCCCTAGAAGGCTCAGATGGAGCAGGCAAGAGACCGGATGACCGAGGGCCTTTTTATTCCAGTACAGGAGATGCGCCCACCAGCCAGCAGCAGGGAAGCAGGAGCAGTCAGTGGGAAGCCCAGGCTGCCTGGGTGGGATGACGTGGCTGAAGAAAACAACACCAGACCCTCCCCCCCCCAGCCACCTGCAGAAGAATACTGGCCCCATAAGCCACGGGACAGGGAGGGGGGGTGGCCCCTGTGGAAGGGGGAAGCTGGGCTCAGGCGCTGGCAGGACATTCTTTCAGCGGGCTCCGTGTGCCAACTCAGGGGGGGAGCGTGGCAGGATCTGGGCTGGCTTTGGGAGGAGGGTCTGGCAAGGGGTCAGGCGGCCCTCCGCTCTTGGCTGTGGGCTCGCTGCTGACAGACAGGTAGCCCCCGCTGGGCAGCAGCTCCGTGATGGCACAGATATTTTCATAGTAGTTGGGCTTGAAGCTCTCCACCGTGTATTTGGAGACTCCAGCCCATTCCTGACAAAGAAAGGACAGGTTGGAGAGACACACGCCTCCTCTCCCCGCCCCCCCCCCAAAGCTAAGACAGGCCAGCCTGGCTTCCTTCCTGGACTGAGACCCTCTGGGGGGGGCTCCTTGCAGGACGAGCCCAGCCTGGGCTGCCAAGTGGCCCTCCTAGGCCGCCTTCTCCCTGGCGTAAAATCACCCGGATTTTCCTGGGAGGCTGAAGCCGAGTCAGGTCTCGTGAGCTTTGCTGGACTTACTGAGAAATTGACTTGATAGGCTGTGAAGAGCTCCTCAAACTTCTTGCTGGGGTTGGGGATTCTGGGCATCAGGACCACCCGCACTCTGTCGGGGAGGAGAGATGGGCTGGGCTCCAGAGGGGTTTGACCTCCCGTCCTGCCCCACTGAGCCCTCCCGAGAGAGGTGAGGAGAAGCGGAGGGCACCGACCCCTCCCTCTCTCTGCCAGGGGGCTCTGGGGCAAGGAGCCTGGACCGAGTCTCCCCTACAGTTCCAACCCGGGAGCCCCTCGCCCAGGTGCCCTCAGCCCTGCTCACCTCTCCATCTGCAGCAAGGCCACAAGCATCAGCATTAGAACGAGGAAGGAGGCCAAGGGAATCACAATGGTTTTGACCAAAGAGGACAGCGACGGCGTGGCGGTCACGACTTCTGCAAAGGAGAAAGCCATGGAGGGTCTCGGAGAAGCCGCTCGGCTGCCTCCGAGATGGAGGAGCTGCTCCTCCCCCCCCCCCCCATGCCAAAGCAACCAGACTGTCTGCTCCTGGAGCTCCTTGGCCAGAGGGAAGACCAGACATCTGATAAACTTTTGACTCTCCTACCACCTGTCCAAGGGAGTCCAAGTTCCCAGGAGGTGGGGCAGCTGGGTCCGGGGGGGGGGGGGGGAAACACCCAGCCAGAACTCGTGCATTCCCTATTTGAGTTCGGTTCACCTGGGAGGGATGCTCCCCTGCGACGGCCTACCAGACAGCCGGTCGCCACAGGCCTCTGTGCCTTCTGTAACGGCCAACAGGTGGGCCAGACACAGGTGGAAGCGACTGAAGTTTTAAAGGAGCTCTACAGCCCTTTGTGCTGGGCAGTTCCATCCACACCCCACCCGGCACGGTCTCTTCCCTCGTCTGTCATCCTGTTTATTGTAACTGAGTGTTGTGAGCTGACGGGAGTTGTTGAGAATTGGGTAGCCCTCGGACTGCTGTGCACACCGACTGGAGGATGAGATACAGGCGGAAGGAGGGTTCCCAACTGCCGCCTCCAAAGGGCAGAACTGGGTGCTCTTCCTGTTCCCCTTTCTTGGCTCCTGGAGGTAGGAAACCCACCCTGTCCTCCCCGCTCACCTTTTCCCCAAAAGGCTGGGCTGGATTCCTCACTCCAGAGGTCGGTGCTTGCACAGTTGTTGTTCACTTTGCTCTTGACGTAGAAGATGTAGCGCTTCTCAGGATCCACGCTGGGAATTTGGAACTTCATGCTATTTACGGTGGAGAGTTCCTGGGAAGCAAGGCAAGAAGCATTCAGACCCTGCCATGCCTCGGAAGGGAGGGAGCCCAGCCCCAGCACCAGAGTTTGCCTCCAAGGGGCCAGAAGGCCGGGGGGCTTTGGCTGCCACAGCTTCCGGGCAGCTTTTAATCGGCACAGAAGCACACAAACAACGCCCCCTTCCTCAAGCCAGAGCGAGGAGAAAAGGGACACAGCCATTCAACGCCCTTTGGGACTGATCGGCTTCCTCCCTCCTACCCAGCCCTGACACAGCGGCTGCTTTCTCGGTGACCAGGCGGGAGTCCAGTCGCTAAGACGTCCACCGGCGCAACATCATCCCTACCATAAACTCTGCGTCCTTGTTGCTCTTGAATCTGACAGAGTGTTGCAAACAGACGGGTCTCTTGTAGGGGGTGTCCCAGGTCAGGAGCAGCTGGTGGTTGCTCAGGTTGTGGAAGGTGAGGTTGAAAGGCTTGCCGGCTCTCACTAAGAGAGAATGCAGGGGGGGCTCTGGTGGGCAGAGGAGCCGGGCCCGGCCCGCCTTCTCCCTCAGGCCCAACCGCCTGACTCAGAGGCCAACGGAGCCCACCAGCCCCTTAAGAGTTGGCATCTTTCCCCTTTCTAAGCAACTTAAACTTCACGTTATGGGGAGGGGGGGGAAAAACACCCCCCCCCAAAAAAAATCAGCCACCCAAAAGAGAAGGGAGAAATGAAGTGTCCAGGGGGGGGGGGGATGCTGGAGCCCTGGGCTGCCTGTTCCCCAGCCGTCTCCCTGAGCAGGTGAAGCAGAAAGCGGGATGGACCGGAGGGCTGCCAGGGGCGGAAGTGGCTGCTCCTCAAAGCCGCCAGTGCAACAGGCCGCCAGCCCACCGGGGAAGCAGCTCCCCTCGCTCCCCCCTACCTCGGGTGTTGAGAAGCAGGGCTCCAGGGACCACGCTCTGCCCCTGGCTGTCATTGAGGTACATATTCAAGTACATGAAGAGGTCGCAATCGCTGAAGTGACACGCCACGTTGAGCCTGTCTTTCTGGATGTAGTCCTGGCACTCTGACGGCTTGCTGACATCCTGGTACCTGGGCAGAGGTGAGAGTGCTGGATCCTGTCCAACCGGCAGCTTCAGGTTGGAAGCGTAGGACAACTTAAGTCCCTCCAGGCCAGGGGTCACCAACCTTTGGACCTCAGGGGTCACCAAACTCATAATTTTAAATCCCAGGGACCACTAACCGGTTATGTGGGCATGGCCTGATTTGTGGGTGTGGCTTGGTGGTCATGTGACTGGCTGGGCATGGCTTGTATGTAAATATTATAAATATTGATATAAATATTGATTTTTTTTATTTAAAAAAGAGCAACTTTTCCACAAAATCAGGCAAAGCAGGCAGGCAGATTGAGTTGCTCACAGAATCATTCAGTGATCTATCTATCTGCCATCAGCTAGCTCAATGTCACATAAAATTTGCTTGCTGTGAGTCTGCACTGAATAATAGAACCTTCAGTCCTAAGGGAGGTTCGGCTGTGCTTAAAAGCACAGCCGAAGATCTAAAGACTAGCTAGAAAGCAAGAAATCCAACCATTTCCTGCTTCCTAGCTAATCTAAATCTCCTGGCACAGCAGAACAGCTGAGGGTCGGAAAAAGGAAAAATAGCAACTTAGCAGGCAAGTTTGTCGGGTAAGGAGTGAGTGGGCGGGGAGGGTTCCCGCGGACCATATGGGCGGCGCAGCCTTGTGTTTCTGCGCAGCCTGGATTCATTGGTTTGGAGGGGTGCTCTGGGGGTGAGATTTCTCTGCGGCCCACCAAAATTTCTCGCAGCCCACCGGTTGGCCACCACTGCTCCAGGCAACGTCCAACCCTGCCACTTCCTAGGGCCGCCACCCACCCTGCCTGGCCTGCTGGGTTTCAGGTAGGTGCTGCCGCCCGCTTTAGGATTAGAAGGCGCCCAGGGCCTCTGGCAGGAGGATGGACCCTGAGGGAAGCTGGCTCAACAGCGGTGTGAGAGCCCCATCCCTGGAATGGGAGGGCGAGCAGGAGGGAGGACCTGGGCAGCTCTGCCTTGAGGCACAGAGGCGAAGGAAGCACGGAAGCCGAGAAAGGGGGCAGCAGGGGCAAAGAGGGCAGAGGGCGCCTACCAGAAGTAGAAAGAGTAGTTCCGATCCGGCTTCTGCTGGCTGCCCCAGTCGCAGATCACGTAGTCCTCATTGTGGCAAACGCAATCCACTGTAGGAAGGGAGAGCAGCTCCGGTCACCTCCACTGGACTCAGCCGGGGCTCCCTCCCACCCAGGCTGGACTGAGAAGGGGTCTTCGTGGAAGGGAGCCCTGTGAGGCTCCAGGGATCTCGGCTGGCTCCGTTGCGTTCCTGCTCAGAAAGCCTCTTTCCCCTCTCCGATTTTTATTGCCAATTTTCAGAGAAGACCGGTAGGCTGCACAGTGGCTCCCTCCAGAAGGTCCAAATTCCCCATTTGCAAGAGACGGTGGGGGGAGCCGCCGGTCTGCGTGGGCTGCTAAAAGCCTTTCTCCACAGCCAGTCTGCCTCCCGCCTGCAACACTCCCCGTTTCTTAACAGCCCCAAGGTTAAAATCATTTTCAGGGGTGGTCAGTGGGTCCAATTTAGAGACAAGCGGGTCTGTGGCTGCTCCCAAGCAAGCTAAGCCATGGCTTGCTGGCTGAACTGCCACATAGTGCCAGACGGATGCTTAGCCACAAATCGTGGCTTACAGATGACAACAGCCCAACATGCAAAGCCAAGACAGACTACAGTTTCGTTATGGCTTTTCCTCCCTCCCTCAGGGAAAGTCCAAGGAGGATTTGGGGAGGGGGTACAGGTTCCAGCACCCCTCCCCCCTACCTCTATGGAGAGAAGCAGGTAAGGGGGCCAGTACCTTTGGCCTGGGGGCTGCCAGCCGTTGGCTTGCCTGGGGCCACCAGCAGCAAGAGGAGGCCAAGCAGGGTCCCTGGATGGTCCAAGACCCTCATTCTCGGGCGCGGAAAAGAGCTGCTGCTCGTTCAGAGGCGCCTCGATGCGAGATGAAACTTTATCTGTGGCTAAAACGCATCACTTCCTCTGCCACCCGTTTCCTGTGGAAAGTTTGTGGCGTGAAATTCTGGGGGTGTTGAAGGCCCCAGGGGGTTTCCAGAGGTGGCTGAAGCCATTGGGAGACCCTGCCCCCAAAGGAGGCAGAGCAGGAGCCATCCTCCACAGCAGGAGACCCTCCGGGGCCTTCCCTTGCAAGGCGGGGGAGGGGCATTGGGGACCCCTCGCCCACGCTCCAGCCACGGCAGGGCCACCTTCGGGGGGCTCCTCCTGGAGAATGCCCTCCAGCCCCGTCATTTCCCATGGAAGGCGATGCCCTGGGCTTTGCTTTGGGGTGGGTGGGGGTGGAGCACATCTGGGGAGACCCCATGAGAGCATCTAGAGGAGAACAAGGTAGTCAAAGCTGGAGGGAGGGAGGGGGGAGGGCTCAGCCTCTTCTCTGACAGCGAAGCCGTGGGAACTTTTAGTCGCTTTAGCAAAAAGTTATTGCCGGGCAGCCATTCTCTCCCCTCCAGCCTCGCATCCCAGGGGATGAGACAAATTCCGGGGGGGGGGGGGCGACCTTGCCCTGGCAGGTCTCCACTTTGGGCTTCCTAAAAACATCGCAATCGGCCAGGTGACACAACAGGTGAGGCTCCCAGGTGTGGCACCACTACCACCTCGACCTGTTGGACTGCAGGGCACTGCAGTGACCGAGCTCGGCCTGCAGGGGGAGACGCCGGGCCATCCTCGGGCATCTCCGTCCATCCTCGGCAATTTCCGCCGCGGCAGCTAAAGAGGGAGAGCACGCCCGGGCGCGTCATCGCTTCCGACCGCCGCGGCGGTGCTCCGCTTTTTGTCCTCCGCGCCCCCCGCAGCCGCGCGCGATCCATTCCGGCGCCGCCCGGGTCCTACGCTGCCGAGCGCTCCTCGGAAGGCTTCGGCGCGGCCCGCCCGCCCCGACCCCGTGCTCGGCCTTTTCCGGCAGCCGTCGGCCCGGCTCGGCTGGTTCCGCAGCCGCCGCCGACCCGGTGTCCGGGCCTGCGTCTGGTCGGCGGGCGGGCCGGCAGCGCCTCTTGGCCGGCCATGGCGGCCTTCGGGGTGCTGAGCTACGAGCACCGGCCTCTCAAGCGGCCGCGCCTGGGCCCGCCCGACGTCTACCCGCAGGACCCCAAGCAGAAGGAGGTGAGCGGGGCCGGAGCCCCCGGCCGGGACGGCGCCCCCTGCGGCCAGGGCGGAGGGCGCAGCGCCCCCGCGCGTCCCGGAGGAAGAAGGGCGCCGCCGCCGCGGGCCCTGGTGGGGTGGGGGGCGGCCGTGGCGCTTGGGGCCCCGCGGACCCCCCCCCCCCCCCCCCCGTTGGGGTCTGTCTGCCGGTGGGCGTCAGGCTGCTCTCGGCCATGGAGGCTCCATCTAAGCCCCCCCCACATGCCCTGCGGCTGGGCGAGCGAGCCCTGACCGGACAGTCCGGCTCTGGCCGGGGACCCGCCTCCTGCCAGTCTCCAGCCCGGCTCTGGATGCTAAAGGAGCCCCGGGACCCCCTGCCCCCCCCCGGGGGTCCCTCCGCCTTGTGCCCCCCCCCCGGTCTCCTGGGGTGGGGTGGCGGGCTGGCCGTGCAGGGGGCCATGGGGGAGGGCAGGAGCTGCTGACCGGCCCTGGCTGACCCTCTTGGCCTCCCACCCACAGGACGAGCTGACGGCCCTCAACGTGAAGCAGGGCTTCAACAACCAGCCGGCTGTTTCCGGGGACGAGCACGGCAGCGCCAAGAATGTCAACTTCAACCCCGCCAAGGTGAGTGCTCCCCTCCGGACCGCCCTGGGGCCTCCAGCCATCCCCCCCCCCCCCAGCTCAGGATGTGGGGCTTCACCCAGAGCTGAAAGTTTGCAGGGGGGGGGATCCCGGGCCTGGGACAAGCACAGCATCCGCCTGAAATGCTGGCCGGCCATTCCCCTGTCCGGAATGTGGTCTTTAGACAAGGGCTGGTGCTGTGGGCAGCAGAAGTGAGCCGGCGGTGAGACCCTCGGGCGGCCTGGTGCTGCCTCACTAAACTCGGGCTCTCCAAAAGAGGAAGAGGTCCCCAGCGTCAGGTGTCCGCTCTTCTCGGTGTGGAGGTGAAGGCGCCTCCACCCATGAAGCCGAGCCGAGGCTCTCGAGGGCAAGGGAGGCCGGGGCTTCCATGGGGCGCCATGTGGTCGGAGAAGCCTGAAGCTCCTTTTGCTCTTCTCCAGATCAGTTCCAACTTCAGCAGCATCATTGCCGAAAAGCTGCGCTGCAACACGTTGCCCGACACCGGCCGTCGGAAACCGCAGGTGAACCAAAAGGACAACTTCTGGCCGGTGACAGCCCGCTCCCAGAGCGCCATTAACAATTGGTTCAACGATCTGGCTGGAACCAAACCCCTCACCCACCTGGCTAAAAAGGTACCGCGCTGCCAAGGCTCTCTTGGTCAAGGGGAGGCGAAAGAGGGGGGCCGGGAGCATCTGTGAACCATCAAGGATTCCTGTCGGGCGGCTTCAGCCAGGACTGGGACGAAAGGAGAGGAGCCCTGGGTGGAGAAGCGGGGCCTCTAACGTCCTGGCTAGGCAGGGCAAGAACGTGAGGGCTGAGCAGGCGTTCTCTGAGGCCCAGCTCGGACACGGCTGCAGGGTAAGCAGGTGTGCTGGAGGGAGGTCAAAGAACGAGATCGGGCCAGTGAAATGGGGGGGGGGGGGGGCTGTTGCCAGGAGAGCAGTGGTTCCCTTGCGGTTCCCTTGCCCTCCTCCTTGCTGGGTCTCTGACCAAACTGCCCGCAGCCATGTGCGAATCAGCCTCCTCCTGCTCTGCTCCCTGGCAGGTGCCCATCTTCAGCAAGAAGGAGGAGATATTTAGTTACCTGGCCAAGTACGCCGTGCCCGTGATGAGAGCTGCCTGGCTGATCAAGATGACCTGTGCCTATTACGCCGCCATTACGGAAACGAAGGTGAAGAAGCGGCATGTCATTGATCCCTTCAGCGGTAAGGGCTGCTGCTCAGGCCTCGAACTCCCCCGGGATCCATGTGGAGCCCTGGGCTTGGGCTGAGCTGGGCCTCTCTCAGCCTCCTTCCATGGCAGCCGTTCCTGCTGCCCCCCAAATCACCGGGACAGTCTGCTTCCCCCTCCCCACTGTTCCTGGTCTCCCTCGCCTCCAAAGCCGTCTCTGCATGTTGAGACCCAGAGCAGGTCCGGCCCCGTCCCTACCATGATGGCTGCTCCCCCTTTCTAGAGTGGACGCAGATCATCACCAAGTTTCTGTGGGAGCAGCTGCAGAAGATCGCCGACTTCCACCGGCAGCTGCTGGCACAAGCATGCGGCTCGCCCTCCAGCATCATGCCGCAGGAGGTGGAGCACTCGGTGAAGCAGTGGGACTACAACGAGAAGCTGGCCATGTTTATGTTCCAGGTGAGAGCGGGGAGGGGAGGCGGCCACCGTCTGTCTGGCGGGGTCCCCTTGGGTGGGAAGTGGGTGGAAGATGGGCGAGCTGAGTCCCCCCTCCCCTCCCCCGGCCTTCTCAGTGCACCTCTGCCTGCTCCTTCCAGGACGGGATGCTGGATCGGCACGAGTTCCTGACCTGGGTACTCGAGTGCTTTGAGAAGATTCGGCCGGGTGAAGACGAGCTCCTGAAGCTGCTCCTGCCGCTGCTCCTGCAGGTCAGCCACCTTCCCCAGGCAAACCCAGGAGAGGCACCGGCTGGGAACTGCAGGGCTGCAACGGGGGAGCGGGAGTCAAAGTGTGCGGAAGGGAGGGCTGTGGCTGCATTTCAGCGGCAGAGAACGCGGAGGGCTTGTGCACCTGGTTTTGAAGGGGTGCCTGATGGGCTGTCAGGCCCCAGGGAGCAGGGGGCTTCTCGGCTGAGCTGATGCCTCCAGCCCCTGTCTCTCCTCTCCCCAACAGTATTCCAGTGAGTTTGTGCAGTCGGCCTACCTGTCCAGGCGCCTGGCTTACTTCTGCACCCGCCGGCTGGCCATTCTGCTGGATGCCAGCGGTGGGCACCCGGCTCACCACCTTCCTTCTCAGGCGGCGCCTGCGCTCCCCTCCACCCCGACGCCCCAGCCGGCTGCGGGAAACTCCTCCGCCAGCCCTTTCAGCGACCTGCTGCTGTGCCCCCAGCATCGCCCGGTCGTCTTTGGGCTCAGCTGCATCCTCCAGGCAAGCGCTTCGCCTGCAGGGGTCCCCCGGGGGGGAGGCGAGGGGCGCACTCAAGAGGACAGGCCTTCTGAAGGAGCACAGGAGAGTTTCCCTGGAGGAGGGCAGGTGGGCAGTGGGCCCACTGCTGAGGGCAGGAGCTGCACTTAGGAGCCCAGCAGACTCACTGTCGGAGACACCGAGGAGCCCAGCGGGAGGATGTGAAGACGCAGGGAGCATGTGGCTTTGGGGATCACCGTGGAAATGGCCGCCCACCTGAGCGCTGGGCACGGAACTGCCCCGGAGCACGACGGCCTCCTTCCCAGGGAACTCAACCTCCTCCTCATCTCCTCCCTTCCCTTCTGGCTTCAGAGTATTGTGCTGTGCTGCCCCAGCGCCCTCGTCTGGCACTACTCCCTCACTGACAGCAGAATCAAGACGGGCTCCCCCCTCGACCACCTGCCCATTGCCCCCTCAAACCTGCCCATGCCAGGGGTCAACGCCACCTTCATACAACAGGTGAGCAGCAGCAGCCCACCTCTTGGCCTGGGGCTGTGCCAGGCTTGCCCCCTCCCCATTTCCCGGGCAGGCTCTTCCTCTGATGCCGCTTCCTTGCCAGGTCCGAGCGAGGCTGCGGGAGACGGAGCAGCAGATTAAGGAGCGTGGCCAGGCCGTGGAGGTGCGCTGGTCCTTCGACAAGTGCCAGGAAGCCACCGCAGGTAGCCCCTGCCCCGCCCCCTCCCCCCTCCCTGGCTGCCCCTGTGCCTGAGTCGCTGGACTGCCCGTCTCTTCCTTGGACCTGCCCCTTTCTCTTCCAGGGTTCACCATCAGCCGGGTGCTCCACACTCTGGAAGTCCTCGACAGCCACAGCTTCGAGCGTTCGGACTTCAGCAACTCGCTGGATTCTCTGTACAACAGGATCTTCGGGGGAGGGCCGAGCAAAGACAGCCACGAGGTGGGGAGGGGTCTTTTCTGCCCGGGCTCAGCCATGGGGGAAGAGGACGTG